AAATTTCTATATAAAAATAGGTTAGATTTATATTAGAGGTAGGTTAGATTTAATTTGGTTAGGGGTAGGTTAGGTTAAGTTAGGATTATGTTAGATTAAGTTGGGTTAGAAGTAGGTTATGGTGGATTAGGTAAGGTAAGGTAAGATTAGATTAGGGATACATTCAATAGGGTCAGTTGTAGATTAAGCGAGGTCAAATTAACATTAGGTCAGGTTTAGGTATGGACTCTGGAGCTGGGAAATTAGTGAGAGTTCCCTTGAGTACTACTGGACGAGGAACCACCCCAAACAAACCAGACCGTGTGTGTGTTTACAGTGTACGCCTCCCTGTTTGTTTGTTTACCTTCAGTGATACTTCGGTTGGCGGGGAGTTTGATTCTATCCACATTACACAGTCAAGAATATAAGGAGGTTCCAATACTGTGTCAAGAATATAAGGAGGTTCCAATACTGTGTCAGGAATATAAGGAGTATCCAATACTGTGTCAGGAATATTAGGAGGTTCCAATAATGTGTCAGGAATATTTCACATTTGTTCCATTACTGTCAGGAGTATTACCCGGTACTGTCAGGAATACTACACAGTTGTTCCAGACAGTGTCAGGAGCCTTGTACCTTATGGGATATGAGCCACCCCGTCTTGTCACCCACTTCCGCGACATCCTGGACAACCTTGGATTAATATCACAACAGGAACACAGGAACACCACAGCAGGAACACAGGAACACCACAGCAGGAACACAGGAACACCACAGCAGGAACACAGGAACACCACAGCAGGAACACAGGAACACCACAGCAGGAACACAGGAACACCACAGCAGGAACACACGAACACCAGGGACACAGGAACTTGCAGGAACACAGGAATACCCAGTAGGAACACAGGAACACCACAGCAGGAACACAGGAACACCACAGCAGGAACACAGGAACACCACAGCAGGAACACAGGAACTCCACAGCAGGAACACAGGAACACCACAGCAGGGACACAGGAACACCACAGCAGGGACACAGGAACACCACAGCAGGAACACAGGAACACCACAGCAGGAACACAGGAACACTACAGCAGGAACACAGGAACACCATGATTTCAAAACATTGGGTGTCCTCAAAGAATCCTTCAAGAATCCAATAGTCCTTCAAGAGTCCTACAAGAATTCTTCAAGAATCCTACAAGAGTACTTCAAATGTCCTTCAAGAGTACTTCAAGAGTCCTTCAAGAGTACTTCAAGTCCTTCAATAGTTCCTCAAGAAACCAATAGGATTCCTTTAGGGATCCTTTAAAAGACGAGAGAACGGACATCAATACAAGCTTATGATCTTATTGTGTGTGTGTGAACGTGCGTATGTGTCTATGTGTGAATCAGGGTTCGTGTGTGTATGTGTGTGTGTGTATGAGTCAGGGTTCGTGTGTGTGCGTTCATAAATCTCAAGCACAGAAGTAAATTAAGTTCCCAGGAGGTGTTGGACAGACGGGGACGTAAAACAAAGACCAGATTTTTTTTTATCTTCAAAACTTTCTAGACAATTCTTCCAGACACTACGGTACCAACTCTCAGATATTAGGGGATCCTGACTCAGAGATGTTGACACCTGGCTGACCGAACTAGCTGACATTATGATCCTGACACCTGGCTGACCGAACAGGCTGACTCTTAAGATCCTAATACCTACCTGACAAAAATCTCTGACCGAATTGCCTGACACTAATATCCTAACAGTTAGCTGACCAAATTGACTGACCATATTTTGCAATTTACACTCACTTATCCTAGCAAGTGGTCTACCTGTTAATTTCTACAATGAGTTTTTAGAAAGTTCTCGTTTTTTTTTAAATATTCAAAGGAGTAAATTACAGGTATATTATTTCCCACAGGTGACGTTATCATAATTAACATCTAGAACAGGTGTATACAGGTGGTTCACAGGTAGACTATCAGCAAATCCTTATGCTCACTATGGCAGGAGATCTTACGTTACCCCCTTCCATTAAACCCCCTACTAACTACCCTCACCCTTTCCACTACCCTCACCCTTTCCACTACCCTCACCCTTTCCACTACCCCTTATGCTATTTAACCCAACGTCCTGCTGCCTCGGATCTTCAAATTGCGTCTTTTAGCTCTACGAATGATAATCCTTTTTGACTGACTGACTGACTGACTAACTGAGTAAGAGAACTGTTTTTGACTAATTTGTTTTGATGGAGATTCTTGCCTCTCTCTCTCTCTCTCTCTCTCTCTCTCTCTCTCTCTCTCTCTCTCTCTCTCTCTCATCGTCAATTCTTTTTCTTCTGTGAGTATTCTCTCACAGCACCTCCTCCCTCCACCATTAATTTCCTCCTGTACCTCCCTCTTCTACCTTTACTTCCTCTTCTGCCTCCTCCTCTTCTTCACCACCTCCTTCTTCTACCCTCCTCCTCTCCTCTATCTCCCTCCTCTTTTACCTCCACCTCCTCCTCCTCATCTACTTCCTCATTTTCCCGTACCCCTCCCTCCTCCCTCCCTCCACCTCCTCCAACTCCTAACCCTTCCTCCTCCTCCTCCTCCCACCTCCTTCACCTCTAACCAGCCCTCCTCCTCCTTCATCTCCTCCACCTCCTCCAACAACCCCTTCCTCCTCCTCCTCCACCTCCCCCACCTCCTCCAACTCTAACCCTTCCCTCCTCCTCCTTCATCTCCTCCACCTCCTCCAACTCCTAACCTTCCTCCTCCTCCTCCCTCCCCACACCTCCTCCAACTCTAACCCTTCCCTCCTCCTCCTCCACCTCCCCCCACCTCCTTCACCTCTAACTCTTGCTCCTCCTCCTTCATCTCCTCCACCTCCTTCACCTCTAACCCTTCCTCCTCCTCCTTCATCTCCTCCACCTCCTTCACCCCTAACCCTTCCTCCTCCTCCTTCATCTCCTCCACCCCCACTCTTCCAGCAATAACACACTGAACTAGACCACTCCCTAACTTCTTAAACGACACCAGTTCTCAACAAGTTCCATTCAACAGAACTTTAGTGGCGGGCGAGGCATAAGAGGGTAAATTGACCTCATAATGGGAAATAAAAAAAGTGACGACGTAATTATAATCAGAACTTAAATAAAAAAGATTTAATTATAATCTGAACTTAGTGTAGTTTTGTAAATATTTCTTCGTGTAAATATTTTCTTTTGTTTACACTTACTCACGCTATGCTTGTTTGTTTTTCTTAGACAATTTAAGTAAATGTCAAGTTAGCGTAGTAATACTCGTGGTATATATTTTAGGTAATGTATTATTATTATTATTATTATTATTATTATTATTATTATTATTATTATTATTATGTCCGGGAACTACGAGTAACTTAATATAATATTTTATCATTTTCCACAGCCACAGTACGAGGTAAAATACACCTTTGATATATTACCATTAACTTAAAATGCCTGAAGGTCTTCCACTCACGAAATATTTAAGTTCCATGTTAAAAGTTCCCAAGCATTTTAACTTTTCCACGACAACATTAAATAGTAATAATGTTAAGACGATGTTGCAGATTAACGCCAACTACTTGAAATAAAAATAAACTGATTCACTCAAGGATATAAATTAATGTGACTTTTTACTCAGAATCCGCGACATATTTTATGAAGTCTGAGAATATAATAAGCATCATTAATTTAATTTTTCTTCAAACATCTCAAGTAATATGTCTCATTATTATTTCAGGAGATACATACATAAAATAAAAGCTTAAGCACTGCAAAAGGTCATGAATATATAACTAACTAACTGACAAACACTCACCCACCACCCAAGCGATCGGTAGGTGACGTTGTTGGTGTTACAATGTAATTAAGATCCTATAAAACTTTACAACAGCAACAGGTGATGTAAGAGGGGGTCATTGTTTTAGTATTACTGTGATATATAAAAAGAGTGTTGGTTACTACAATACCTCAGTGCGTGATGAGCTGTGGGTGAGGGTGGATTTACCTTCTTCTCCTCTTCCAGTGTGTGTGTGTGTGTGTGTGTGTGTGTGTGTGTGTGTGTGTGTGTGTGTGGTTGAGAGTGACGTAAATAACCCTAAAGTTTAGTAATATCCTATTTTCTAATTTTACTCAATGTTCATATTAGCATTATATATATATATATATATATATATATATATATATATATATATATATATATATATATATATATATATATATATATATATATATATATATATATATATATATATATATATATATATATATATATATATATATATATATATTTTTTTTTTTTTTTTTTTAACAGAAATTAGCTCCCCCTAGGCCCCTCTAGAGGGCGAAAAAATAAGAACAGAAAGAAATAAAAAATAGAAAAGAAAAAAGTTATACTGTGTAAATCTACACCACGAAGATGACGGAAAACCAGCTTTTTAAAGTGAGACAGATTGTATAAGTATGGAAACACAGAATAGGGCAGAGCTTTCCACAATTTGGCTGTGTAAGGAAAGAAGGAGGTACTATAACGGGTGATTATAGTGTGACCGACATCCACAGAGAAACGGTGGGCACCGTGAGCAAGACGTGTGTTACGAGCCCACGGCCTTGCCGGCGGTACACAGGATGCCAGATCCACCGAACATTGCCCGTTAAAGTACCTGTAAAAGAGAGAGAGAGTGAAGCAACATTGCGGCGAAGAGAAAGGGAAGAAAGATTATTAACTAAAGGAGGAGAGTTAATAAGACGAAATGCCTTTGATTCCACCCTATCTAACAGTTGGACAGAAGAGCCACCCCAGATATGAGAGCAATACTCCAAGTTAGGACGAATGAATTCCTTATCTGTACAACATTCCCAACTATAGATTGAGTATTAGTGATTAGTAGCCACCCCTCCCCTCCCCCTAACCTTCTCAACCCCACATAAGAGATATCAAGTGGAAACTGGATCTATCTATCTATCTAAGCGTCATAGATGAGGTAAAAAGTGTGGGTGGCACTAGTAGCCAGACACCACAACACCATCATGTTCGGTCAGCCTCAACACAACACCATCATGTACGGTCAACCTCAACACAACACCATCATGTACGGTCAACCTCAACACAACACCATCATGTACGGTCAACCTCAACACAACACCATCATGTACGGTCAACCTCAACACAACACCATCATGTACGGTCAACCTCAACACAACACCATCATGTACGGTCAACCTCAACACAACACCATCATGTACGGTCAACCTCAACACAACACCATCATGTACGGTCAACCTCAACACAACACCATCATGTACGGTCAACCTCAACACAACACCATCATGTACAGTCAACCTCAACACAACACCATGTACGGTCAACCTCAACACAACACCATCATGTACGGTCAACCTCAACACAACACCATCATGTACGGTCAACCTCAACACAACACCAGAAGCGAGGGCCGCCCCTGAGGCACACACTGTAAGCCGGGTGTGCAGAGTCATGAGAGTAATTTACAGAAGAAACTCTACTCGGAATTTTGTTTTTTGTGGGATTGAGATTCGATCAAGTGTAGAGTTTTTTTTTGGCGTTTTTCAGGGGGAGGAAGGGGAGGGGGAGATGGGAGGGGGGGAAGGGAGGGGGGGAGAGGAGGTGGGAAGGGGAAGGGGGTGATGGGGAGGTGATGGGGGATCGGGGGGGAGGTGGGAAGGGGGAGGGCGAGTAGATATTGAAGCTCCCACGACCCAAGGCAGATAACTTGATTTAGTTCTTGTTTATAGGAGCACCTGGAGCCTCTAGAGCACCTGGAGCCTCTAGAGCACCTGGAGCCTCTAGAGCACCTGGAGCCTCTAGAGCACCTGGAGCCTCTATAGCACCAAGAGCCCCTAGATCACCTGAAGCCCCAAGAGCACCTGAAGCCCTTAGAGCCCCTAGAGCACCTAAACCAACCACGACTTTATATTAAAGGTAAAATTTTATATTAGGAAATATCTTTACAAAATAAACTTGAAGAGCCAATTACTACGGTGGATGAGAGTATTAAGTCAAGATTTCCCTTCCTTATAGATACGATGTTACTCGAGGTAATAATTTTTCAACTCAGGATTCTAATTCACCATAACTGAGAGGACTTATAGTGAAAATTGTAAAAAAAGAAAATATATATATATAAATAACAAAATAAATAAACAAATAATATACAAATAAATAAATAAATAAATACATAAGAATAGAAAATAAATAAACAAATAAAAACATAATTAAATCGATGAAAATTTGAGGTATTAAGTCTGGATATTGTTTTTGTTTTCGCTGAATAAACTTATTCTCTTCACACTGGAATGAAAGGAGGTTAAACCAGCCTTAAACTTGAATTAATCCTACACTACATAAACATGGCGTCTAAAGCATATGTGAATCGGGTAATTGACGAAACTAAAATGGGCCAAATTAATTCAAGGATCATTATTTAAATAGGGGAAGAATATATGAGAGAGAGAGAGAGAGAGAGAGAGAGAGAGAGAGAGAGAGAGAGAGAGAGAGAGAGAGAGAGAGAGAGAGAGAGAGAGAGAGAGAGAGAGAGAGAGAGAGAGAGTATTATCCTCACTCGTACGCCCATTGTAACTTACGTGTTCATTATAACTGTTCAAACAATATAAACACATAACTTTGTTCAACACAGACTGGCTGAGTGATATTGTTTAGTGTTCATTTTTAACTTTAAGTTCATCACAGTCACAAGGAACACATTTCATACTGTTCATTATAGTTCAAGTTCACCACAGGCTGCCTCAGTGACATCATACACAGCACAGTACAGCACAGCACAGCACAGCACAGCACAGCACATGCGAGTCAAAACACATATTCACCCGACCGCAAGACAGATTACGTGGAGATGGCATATTGGGCCTGCTTCTCCCCCTCTCTTCTTCTGTTCTCTCTCATTTCAGACTTCTGTTTCTCTTTATCATTCTCTCTCCCCCCATTTACTTCCCTTCCCCTACTCTTCTCTCACCCCCTGCCTCCCTCTCTCTTTTACCCCATTACTCCACCTACTTTTCTCTCCTCCCCTCTCCTACTTACTCTCTCTCTCCATCCCATCCCGCCCCTCTCCTCTCCTCCTCTTCACTCTTCTTCACCCCTCCTCCCTTCTTTCCACTCCCCCTCCTCCTTCCCTCTCCACCCCACCACCTCCCTCTCTCCTCATCACTTCACTCCTCCCTCCTCCCCTCCTCTTCCACCCTCCCCTCTCCCAGCCACTCCACCTGCACGCCCTCCACCTTTTTCTCTCCACCCTCCCTCCCTCTCTCTCTCCACCCCCTTTCCTCCAGGTGTCTCTCCACCCTCCCCATTCTCCTCCTCACTCCACTCCACTCTCCCACACACCCCCCCTGTCTCTTTCTCACCTTTCCTCCTCTCTCTCTCCTCCCTCACATAACCTACCTGAAACAACATCGCTCTGTCGGTCCCTGTGCCTTTCTCCTGTCATTAATTCCCCGCCTTTTGTCCCAGCCTCAATAGTGTGTTTACAAAACATTAACTATGCACGGGGAGCTTTTCATATTTTTAATGGCACGCTGCATTTTTCATCAGAGCCCAGAGATTTTTTTTTTTTCCGCGGGAGTGAAACTTGCATTCTTTTCTCCAACTTTGTGAAATAATAGTTAACCCCCCCACACACACACAAGATGAACTGGTGAAGGTCAGAGGTCGGTGTTGCCTTTGTGTGCCAACGAGTACAAAGCCACAGGAAGGGTTTAAGGGATGGTTCAGGTCAGTGCCTACGAATTAATATGAAGCACCTGTGGGTCTGGCAGAGACGCTTTTGTCTTAATTGAGAGAGATGATAACAGAGCCTCCGGGAATTATAAAGGATGATATTGTACAGGTGTTAGGTGTGCTGTTACGGGTGTTAGGTGTGTTGTTACGGGTGTTAGGTGTGTTGTTACGGGTGTTAGGTGTGTTGTTACGTGATGTTAGTGTGTTGTTACAGGTGTTAGGTGTGTTGTTGTTACAGGTGTTAGGTGTTGTTACGGGTGTTAGTGTGTTGTTACGGGTGTTAGGTGTGTTGTTACGATGTTAGGTGTGTTGTTACGGATGTTAGGTGTGTTGTTACAGGTGTTAGGTGTGTTGTTACGGGTGTTAGGTGTGTTGTTGGCTGGTGTTAGGTGTGTTGGTACGGGTGTTAGGTGTGTTGTTACGGCAGTTAGGTGTGTTGTTACGGGTGTTAGGTGTGTTGTTACAGGTGTTAGGTGGGTGTTATGGGTGTTAGGTGTGTTGTTGCTGGTGTTAGGGTGTGTTGTTACGGTGTTAAAAGGTTACGGGGTGTTAGGTGTGTTGTTACGGGTGTTAGTGTGTTATTACGGGTGTTAGGTGTGTTGTTACGGGTGTTAGGTGTGTTGTTACGGTGTTAGTGTAAGCTGTTACAATCAGCTGTTGTGTCTACATTTATTTATTGTTTGGTGATGGTGTGTGTGTGTGTGTGTGTGTGTTTTCTTCATACACACACACACGCACACACACGCACACACACGACCGTAACGACAAAGAAAGGTTTTCATACACTCAACTTTGGTGTTCATTTCCTTTTAACTTCATTCATTCGTTATTCATTCGTTTCATTCATCGTCACTTACATTCATGTGTCTCTACTAAGCTTCATTAACTTCCACTAAGCTTCATTCACTTCTTCCAGCCTTCTTTCACTTCTAAGTTCCATTAATTTCTCAAAGCCCCCGTTAATTTCTCCCAAGCTTCATTCACTTAAGGCTTCATTCATTTCCACTAGGCGTCATTCACTTACTAAAGCTTCATTCATTTCCACTAAGCTTCATTCATTTACTAAAGCTTCATTCATTTACTAAAGCTTCATTCATTTCCACTAAGCTTCATTCTATTACTAAAGCTTCATTCATTTCCACTAAGCTTCATTCCCTCTCGTAAGTGTGGAGGAGTTAATGCCAGTCTTTACAATATGAAAAATAATTGAAATCTGAGTTGCATTTGCATTCAGTCAGATAATATCGTCCATCACATTGTATCAAACTCCAATACATAAACAACTATTAATACTTTCTCTATATTTTCATACTTTTTATATTATTTCACAAACGTCTAAATATGAACTTTTTATTTGTTCATTAATAAAAGATTTGAATAATAATTACATTCACAACCTCATTATTGTTCTGTTCATGTAAATTCGTCTCAATTATGATATGTATTTTAATGTATATATATATAATTTAATCTTAGTTTTATCGTGGAAAGAAAATCTAGTGTGGGTTTTTATATATACATTAAAAATCTGGTCTATAATTCCTTTTATAAAAATAATATAAATAATTTACAATTATTTTTAGTTAGTAATTAATTTCCCGGATACTATAATTAAAATATGAATCATCTATTTTATGGATAATTACCTAAGCTGTAAACTCATGTAAAAAAAAAAATCCAAATTATTGTTCATGTTTCAAATTTATTTTATTCCTAAATTAAAATAACAACTATATTTGTTTCCCAACTCGAGAGATTAGTTATATTTTATTCACTCATTCATTTGATTTATTTTCCACTTGTCTCTTATGGCAGCATTTTATTATTTACTGTTATTTATGATAAGGTACATAAAAAATAAAGTTATATTTTTCGTCTCCATGTTATAGTGTTACTGAAGTCTTCGGTTATATTGTTCATTTTGAGAGAATCATGATCACTAATAAATCACTGTCCGGATCTGTTCACCTCACAGTCATCATAATGATTATTTTATGCATATTTCATTGACTTTTTTGATAACGTGAGGCTGCTGAGGTGTGAGGTGGTGGAGGGGAGGGGAGGTGGGGTGTGGGAGGTGGGGAGGTGTGAGGTGGTGGGGAGGTGGGAGGTGGGAGAGGGTGTGGGGTAGGTGGAGGTGTGGGGAGGTGGTGGGGAGGTGTGGGGTGGTGGGAGGTGTGGTGGTGGGGAGTGTGGGAGGTGGGGTGGTGGGGAGGTGTGGGGTGGTGGGGGAGGTGTGGGGTGTGGGAGGTGTGTGGGTGAGGGGGGTGTGGTGGTGGGAGGTGTGGTGGTGGGGAGGTGGAGGTGGTGGGGAGGTGGGGAGGTGTGGGAGGTGTGGTGTGTGGTGGGGAGGTGGAGGTGGAGGAGGTGTGGTGGTGGGGAGGTGTGAGGGTGGTGGGGAGGTGTGTGGTGGGGAGTGTGGAGGTGGTGGGAGGTGTGGTGGTGGGGAGGTGGTGGTGGTGGTGGGAGGTGGTGGGAGGTGTGGTATGGAGGTGTGAGGTGGTGGGGAGGTGAGGTGGTGGGGAGGTGTGTGTGGTGGGAGGTGTGTCGTGGTGGGGAGGTGTGGTGGTGGTGGGGAGGTGTGTGGTGGGGAGGTGTGTGGTGGTGGGGTGAGGTGTGTCTGTGTGGGGGAGGTGTGTCGTGGTGGTGGGTGGTGGTGGGGGGTGTGTGGTGGGGAGGTGTGTCGTGG